TTTAAAAATGTGGTTACATTCAGATTTTTGAAGTGTTTTATGCTTCATATGGCTAAGTTGTAGTTTGGCAGAGTTAACAGCATATTAATAAACATGCTGTAATTTTAAAAGATGCTTTGAATAAAATTTTATTTTAATTTAAAGTGTAAAGTACATGGGTCATTCTTGCAGTTTTTATAATTTGTTTCTCTATCAAAAATATTGAAACCATAATAGATAGATGGATAGATAGATAGAAGATAGATAGATAGATAGGTGTTAGATAGATAGATAGATAGATAGATAGATAGATAGATAGATGTTTAGATAGATCAAAAAAATAGAGATAACCCACAACCTGACATCCTTTATCTCACTTGTCTCAGACAGCTTTTTTGAGGTTGTGTGGGTTGACTTCAGAGTATCCACACTATGCAAGCATCCTGCCACTGAGCTACATCAACCCCTGACTGGCCTGGAATCCACTAACTACATCTCCTTGCCTTTGCCTCCTGAATGCTAGTTTTAAAGACTCACGCTATTAACACTGGGCTGGGTTGTGGATGTTCATTTCCTTATTTCATTCATCACAGTGCTAACATGCTGGGGCTGGGGAGATGGCCCAGTGGGCCAAGTGCTTACTGCATAACCATGAGCACCAGGCCTTGATTCCCAGCACCCACATAAAAGCTGGGCAGGGTGGTGTAGGCCTCTAACCCCAGTCCTGGGAGACATAAACAAGTGGATCCCAGGACTTCTCTGACTTATCAGCCAGCCTACCTGAGATGCCAAGCTCTAGGTTCAGTCAGAATAGGGGAAGGAGAGAGACTGAGGAAAGATCCCAGTGTCAACCTCTGGCCTCCATTTGTGCTGGGATGAGTGAGTATATCTGTATACATATATGTCCACATATGCACTTACTAATGTTAGATCTCAAACCAGGACAAATGGCTAACTGGGTTACGTATTAACGTCAAAGCAGACAGGCCACCAGGTTCTCCCAGCATCCCTCAGTTCCTGCCTGTTGCAGGGTCCTCCTGGTTGGCATACCCTGTCCCTTACCCTGAACTCTCTTGTCAGAAGCTTGGTTGCCCCTACCTCAGCTGCTTTTCCCTATATAATACAGCCATTTTGGCTTCTTGGTCTCCTGGCTTTTCCCTCTCCCTGACTCTCCTCACATGGCATGGTTCAGGGTCATGTTCATTCTGACCCTCCCAGATATCTCTGCCTCTGGCTATATCTTCCTTTTATCTACAATAAACCATCCTACCTAAGAGCACTCTTGTCCTTTTTACTTTGTCATTCAGCTATATCAGTGGAGTTAATTAGAAAAAAAAATTGTTATGCGGTGTTTGTGTGTGTGTGTGTGTGTGTGTGTGTGTGCAAGCGTGTGCACGAGAGTGCATTTGCTATGGTTTCTGTGGAGATAGCCAGAGATAGCTTTTGGAGTTGGTCTTTCCTTCCAACATGTAGATTCTAAGGATCAAACTCAGGACTTCAAGCTTGGTCGCAAATGTCTTTTATCTAGTTTGCTAACTTAGAGGTTCTGATGTAGTTAAGTATTAACTATTGCCAGCCCTATCTCAGGTCTTAAATTAGGGTAATGGGTGGAGATTTCCTTTTACTTAAGGGTGTGGAATCATCCTTCAAATAGCCCCCAGGTTTCTTCTCATTTGAGTTATTTTCAGTTGATCTTTCAAGGTTACCCTGCCCTGATTGTCAGGTCCAAAGGGTACCCCAATTTCTCTAAAAAGGGCAGATGAACTGATTCAGTCCAAAATTGAGTCTAAGCCCAACTTAACCTAGACTATAGGAGGATTTTGGTAGTTAGCTAAAAGCCAGCATTCCTCAGAAGGGATGTGTGGCTCCATTGATGTGTTCCTGTGGCTGCCTAAGCCTCCAGGCTCCCTCAGTCCCTATTACAAGTACTTGATAAGTTCTTCAGCGCCCCTACCCTAGTCTGCCTGCCTTGCCCCCTCCAGCTCCTCACCCCCTCTATAACCTGTTATTCTTACTGTTCTCTTGCTATCTTCTAGCTCTCTTTAGGTCTGTTCTCTATCTCCTGCTAATCTCCACTATCCCTTTCGGCTTCCCTTGTCCTTTCTAGTCTGCTGGCCAAGTCCAGTCTTTTTCTGCTCTGAATACTTTTTTTTAACCTACTACTACAATCCTCGATGGTTCATGATGGAACGAGCAGTCGTGTTCGCAGTTTCTTTATTGTGCCCCTCTGATACATCCATCCAGTTCGGAGCACCCAGGAGAGAGACAGATGGACCAAGGGACCCATCCATGCTCCCCTATCTAAACCAAGCTGCTGATTCTCCTAAGGTATGGATTAATTTTTTTCTGCCAGGAATCTTCCTATAGTCCAGGTTGAGCTGGGCCTATATTCAATTTTGAACCAAGTCAGTGAGCCTGCTCTTTTACTAGGGAATGGGGAACCCTTTGGACCTAACACTGGTATGTGCAGACAGAACTCAAAAACGCTAGTCAGGCTGTGGATTGCAAGTTAATACTGGTGAAAAGTGCAATACATCTGGACATGAGAACAAATTTTAAGATCTTTATGAGTGTCCAAGTGCAGGCTTCTGTCTGCTGGCTTTAGTACCTGGGGTTCCATGCATGCTAGGCTATAAACATGATTTTAAAATATTGTTTTGCCAAGTTTATGCGTAGAGTGGCCAGAAACAACAGATCTTTAGAGGAAATCAGCCAAAGTGACTAAATTCAGATTTTTAAGGTTTATCTTATTTAAAAAGGATTTGTTGTGAATTCTTAGTGTTTGTGTGTACCTGTATACACTGAGTACCTATGCCTGCCCAGGCCTGAGGCTCTGCATGGAACTGGGGTTGCCGGTAGGTGTGAGCTGCCTGGTTTGTGTACTAGAACAGCCTGATCTTCCACAAGAACAACCAGAGCTCCTAACCTTTGCTCCATCTCTCCAATCTGTAATTCAGATTTTAAAATCTTATGTCCCTTTGTTTTCTTTCTTGGAGGTAATTTGGGCTCATTTGACCAAAATTTTCAGTGTTAGGCCACTTCCCAAAAATTCTGCTCAGCTTCCAATCCAGCTGTTGGCAGACAGTTCTAGCCTTTTTATACAGCTGGGCTTCCACTTTAACAGGACATCTTAAACATTTCTAAAAGGCTAACTTTTCAGATTTTTTAAATGATTATTTAGAATTAAAAATATGGATACTTCATTGGAAATAATGTTAATGTTAATGTTCTATAGTTCTGAGCTTTTATTCACAAGAACCAGGGATCCTGGGGCTGCTGTCCTAGGGAGAAGTGGGCCTTGCGTGAGGGAGGCCTGAATTTACCAAAAGTGTCCAGAGGAAGAGAAGCCGAATACTTGGCATTTATGGTGGATGCCAGCCTTAGGCATTTATGAACGAGAAGCAGAAGCATTCCGCACAAGCGCTTGTCTTGAAGTATGCCTGGGAGCATTTTTAGTAATAGTTGTAAATTGGGAATTACTATCACACCAACCACCGCGGTAGATGGGGGCGCTCTGAGCACCGGAACATAAGCAGGGAGGTGTAGCCTAGCACCACAGCTGACACAGATCCGAAGTACCAACTGGGAGTACTCAGGGGAACTCTTGCCCTTTGTGGGGACGTTGAGCTCGGATTTGCGTGTTTGCTTGGTTGTGTTCATTTGTTAAGAACGCATCTGTAACTCGCTACTCAGGCGCGCCCTGTAGGATGTAAATCATACTTTTTTTTAAAACAAAAAAGCGGAAACGAACCTCAGCTTTCTGGGGGTGCCGGCTAAGACTGTTTCTCGGCATTCTCAGGCAGTGGATACCTCTGAGGAAGGTGCACTAGAGGCACGAGCGCGGGGTGCGGGGCGGGCCGTGATCGGAGTTCGCGTCCCAGCTCTTCCTGTTCCTGCCGCACCCTCTTCCCGGGCCGCTGGGGGCGGGACCGCGGGCTGGGTTAGGGCCGGGCGGCGGAGGGCAGAGATGGAGGAGCCCGACACGGTGCTGCCCTCTCGCCTGGCCAGACTGCTGTCCGCGCTCTTCTACGGAACATGCTCCTTTCTCATCGTGCTGGTCAACAAGGCGCTGCTGACCACATATGGGTGAGGCTGGTTATGCGGGATGTAGGGTGGCCGGGGCATGGAAAGCCGAGTGTGCTCTGTTTTTTACCAAGTCACTACCCAACAAAGTCCACTTGGGTCAAGAGCATAGCACACACCGGCTGAACTTGGAAAGCCACCACCTTGGCAAGCCTCAAATAAGTACACCAACTGAGAAAAAAGTGACTTTAAGGGCTACTTATTTTGAGACAGGCATTCATCAGGTTAGCTCACACTGGCCTCGAACTCAAATCCTTGTGATTGAGCCTCTCTAGTGCTGATATTACAGGTTGCAACATCATAAACACAAATGTATTTTGAGCAAATTATTCCCTTTTAGCCTTTGTGGTGTTTTTGAGACAGGATTTCATGCACCCTAGGCTAACTTCTGAACTACCTAATCGTTTTCCTGTCTCCACCTCTAGTGTGTAACACCACACCTGTCTTATACAGTGCTGGGGAAGCAACCCAAGGATTTTCACTCTTACTGAGCTACATCTCCAGCTCCAAGCAAAACAAACAAAACAAAAATGTATGTTCCACCGATTTTCACCTGGACTTGTGATTTATACAGGTTAATCATCCATTCTCAAATAACCATCATATTTCTGGAGAACCAGAACAAACAATTTGAAGTTTACAAGATAAGTTTTTTTTTTGGATCAGAGTGGAGTGCACCAGCAACTCTGTGCTTCTTTGAACTTATTTGTAAAGACTATAATAATATCCTGTTTAATTCTACTGTGTGATAGAATCCAGAGAGAAGTATGGTTTAGATCTGGCCCTAGAGGCGATTGCTCTGCTCCCTGGCACTAGTCCATACTCAGCACTTTCCTTAGACGCAGAACCTTGCTGACAACAAGCATGATACTGACTTCCCAGGACCTTGCCTGGGCTGCCACAACCCAGGGCTCTTTGTAGACTCCACTGGTCTGCTTTTTTGTCTTACATTTGGGAAAACTCAGACCCACATCAGGTCCACAGGTTGTAAGTGGACGGATACTGTTGAGTGCCTACTCTGCTGAGCCCATGGCGGGTGCTGGACAAAACGGTATGGACCATGTAGAACTTCTTCTATGGAAGTTCTGCTTCAACAGTAGGGAGTAAACAAACACGTTCAAGAACTGATAAAGCATTTCAGATGTCACCTGAGAGAAGAAGCTCAGAGGTTGGTGCCAGAATACCAGGCAGAAGAGAGCAGCAAGAACTTGGTCTCCTGGAAGAGCAGAGAGAAAGTCGACATGGCTAGAAGACCGGAAGGGAGTGGCCATGTACCAAGGAGACCCCAGTAGAACTATACAGGGAGGGCAGGGACAGAGCCTTCATTCATTCAGTGATACTGTGTGCCCAGGATGTGATAGCCATGCTATCAAGGGAGCAGAACAGGTAAAACTCCTTAATCTCACATCCTAGTGTACCAGCAATAAACTAGTATCATTGAAAGTGTGTGTGTGTGTGTGTGTGTATGTGTGTAGGTCAGATGACAATTTTCAGGAGTCAGTTTTCTCCTTCCACTGTGTGGGTCCCAGGGATGGAACTCAGTTTGTTAGGCCTGGCAGCAGGCTCCTTTACCCACCAAACCATCTTCCCAGCCTAGTATTCACATAGGTTGGCTCACAGCAACCTATAACTTCAACTCTGGGGGATGTAACACCCTCTCACAAACATATGAATAAAAATATTTATTTTAAAAACCCACAAACAGTATGTTAAATTAAAATGAGTAGATACTGAAGCCAATTGATACATAGGGGGTAAGGTCATAAAGGAAAAAGAAAATGTCAGGGTGGGGGTGAGGCTGTTGGTGATGCTTGCCTAGCCTGCAAAAAACTGGATTCAATCTCTAGCACTACACAATAGTGGACACCTGTCACTTGGGACGCTGTCACTTGGGATGTAGAAGCAGCAAGATCTATCACGTTCAAGGCCATCTTGAGTCATAAGAGACCTTGTTTCAAAGCAAAATAAAGAAAATATAAAGGGACCAGAGAAATGGCTCTGCAGTTAAGAACATTGACTGCTCTTGCAATGGACTCAGTTTGGTTCCCAGCACCTGTAAGTTAGCTCACAACCATCCATAACTCCAGTTCTAGGGAATCTAGTACTCTATTCTGGTCTTCTTAGATACCAGGCATGCACATGGTGCACATACACATATGCATGCAAAATGCCTAAACACAATAAAATAAATTCAAAATCTACAATATAAACATAAGGTTGTCATGGGCATGTTTGAGAGAAACTTGTGGGTCTGTCAGCCAAAGGCACTAGAGCTCGTGGGCTGCTGACTGGCTGTAACATTAATGCCTCTAGAAATACATTTTTTTTTCTTTCAGCAGGAGCCAGTGAATGATGGCCACTGCTCTGAAGACAGTGGGTATCTAATACACTAGTCCTTTCATCTTTAAAGCTTTGAGTTTCAGACTAGGGGTGTATGTAGTCCAGTGGTAAAGTGGTCACCTAGCATATAAATCTGGAGTTTCATATCTATCTAGCACTGAGAGGGGGAAGGAGGAAGATAATTATGAGTGAAGTTTTTACTTCAGGAAAGTTTATACTCGTTATAAATACAAATTCCTTACCCCCTCCTTCCTTTCTGTAGTGTAATGTTATACATTCCAGCTCTGTTGAAAGAACATTCTCTCATTTCAAGATTCTTGAGGCACACATTGTTGAGATGATTTAGTTGGAGGTGATTTAGTTACCATGAACCATAGCAACTTGAGCCCAGCAATAGCTGTTTGAGCAAGAGTGTGTGCTAGAGGCTGGAAGGAAGAAGTTTTTGACAGTTATCTGACAAGACTGTGCGCTTGGATGGAGCTCAGGGGCTTCTTCAGTTCCAGTTTGAACAGGTTATTTCTGGTTGGGGTATAAACCTTGTGTGTGGTCTTAGCTTCTCTGTGAATTTAAGTTCATGCTTGCCCTTGCTAGTTTATTGTCAACTTGACACAACTTAGAAGAGTTATCCGAGAAGAGAATAGTGGAAGGTGCCACTCCTGGGCGGGTGGTCCTACGGTGTATGACAAAACAGGCAAAGCAGGCCAGTAAGCAACTTCCTCCATGGCTTCTGCTTTACTTCCTGTCCTGATTTCCCTCAGTGATAGATTGTTACCTGGAAGAGTAAGTGAAATAAACTCGCTCTTCCCCAAATTGCTTTTGGCCATGGTGGTTTATCACAGCAATGAAAATCTTAACTAAGACAGGAATTGGTATTGGGTCATAGTCCTGACCATGTTTGACCAGGTGTTTTAGGGAGGATGATGGTAACATTTGAACTTTGGATTGGAAAAGCCATTGAGTGCTCACAACTCAGTGACTGTTTTGTGGAAGCTTGGGAGATAGGAATGTTGAAAATCATGCAGGCCATAGATGTCTAGCTTGTCAAGTTTCAGAGAGAAGCAAAGATTCTATCAGGGCTTCTTATGTGATTTTTTTTTTAAATTTTTAATTAAGAATCTGGTTTTTTTCTTGGTCAGCTAGAACTGAAGAATCAGCTATGGATAACAAGAGACCACAAACCCTAGTGCAAAACATTTGCTTTGTTGTTATCCTAAGTGCTGTACAGATGGACTGCCCATGAATATTCTTCTCTATGACATGAACATTTACTAATGACATTTAATTTTAAAAGCATTGAATATAAAAGTTGGGCACACCTGTAATATCAATACTCAGGAAGTGAGGCAAGCAGATTGCTAAGTTTGAGGTCCTCATGAACTATGTAGGGTGCCCTTGTCTTTAAATAAAATAAGTAAATAAATAAATAAATAAATAAATAAATACATAAATAAATGTCAAGCACAGCGGCTCACACCTTTAATCCCAGAACTTAGACAGATGCAAGTAGATCTCTGAGTTCAAGGCCAGCCAGGTCTACAGATTGAGCTCCAGGACAGGTAGGGCTACACAGAAAACCCTATATCAAAAAAAAAAAAAAATCAAACTAATTTTATTCAGTTTAACAAATATTTGCTCAGAACTTGCTATGCATATTTGCTTTGTTATTCACCAGAGACCTCTGTGTGTGTGTGTGTGTGTGTGTGTGTGTGTGTGTTTGTGTGTGTGTGTGATCTTTTAGTGCAGGCAATTCAAACTCAGGTCTTCACGTTTGCACAGCGGGTGCCTCACCCACAGATAACCTCACCAGCTCAGTCACACTCTTGGGTGCATGCCCTTCCTTACCTCTGCTCCCACAGAATTCAATTCACAAATTGACGAATGGGTGGCACTTACCTCTTGTTCTCAGTACTTTCTCAAGTCTGAGGGTTCAAGGGTAGCTTAGATAACACAGGGAAGCTGTTTCAGCAACAAAAAAGAACTCTGAAACAACACTCCCCCACCCCCGTGAAATGAACAAAGAATGATCCATCGACAGGCAACTTGGAGCACTGTCCTTAAATGTCTGTTTTTTATCATTTTGGCTTTTTGGAAAGGCATTCTGTCATTATCATTGAAAAGAATGCAAGTGAAAGAGAACCCTTAGACGGAAACTGCTTTATAAATACCGTAATTATTAGAATAGGTTCAGATTTGGGTGGAGAGATGAATACACAGATATGAATGTATAGATGGAGACAGATGATACATAGGTTAAATTACATTTTTGCAAAAATGCTTCTTATAAGCATTACCCCTTTGCTCATGTACTTCTATGTGTTCTTTAATCCAGAAAGAAATAGGAGGGCATGTTATTTAACTTTTTGAGAGTAACCTGTGTTTCTACCTGCCTACCTTTTCTAAAGATTTGTTTTTCTTATTTTAAATATGTATATATGTCTGTGTACATGAGTGCTGTGACTCTGGAAATGGAGTTATTGGTGCCTGCCCCACGTGGGTCCTGGGAACTGAACTCAAATCCCCTATAAGAGCAGTAAGGGCTGTTAACCACTGACCCATGTCTATTTGGAGACAGGGTATCACTAACTTGCTCAGGCTGCCCTTGAAGTTGGGATCCTTCTGCCTAACCTTGCAGTTAACTGAAACAATGGGCCTGCTTTCACCAACAGAGTTTATCCTTCTTTAATTTTTAATTTCAGTTTACAATTTCCAATGTAGAGGTGTCTTAGTGTTCCATTGTTGTGAAGAGACACCATGATGGCGACGGCAGCAGTTGGGGCTGGCTTACAGTTTCAGAGGTTTCATCCATTATCATCATAGGGAGGAACAAGGCAGCATTCAGGCAGACATGGTGCTAGAAAAGTAGCTGAGAGATCTATATCCTGATTCATAGGCAGAGAGAGACAGACAAGGCCTGGTGAGGGCTTTCGAAACCTCAAAGTGACACATTTCTTCCATCAAGACCACAGATCCTAATGCTTCTAATTCCTTTAAATAGTGCCACTCCCTGGTGACTGAGCCAATCTTATTCAAACTACCGCAAGAGATCTTCTTGTATATGGTATTATACATTTTTTATTTTTATTAACTTTATTGTATTGCTCTGCTTCTTTCTTATATTTTTACCTTCACAGAACAAAAGAAAACAGCCAAGTTAAGCAACCCCCAGTTGTTGTTTTTTTAAAACGAAAAGGAAATGGACAAAAGAAAAAAAAAATGGAAATTTCTGTTGTCTGATCTCTGTCACAGTTCTTGTTTTACTTATTTTCTTCGGGTTTTTAAATGTTGCTAAACTGATTTGCTGTTCTGTATTTCTTTCAGTTTTCCCTCACCAATTGTTCTTGGAATTGGACAGGTGAGTTGAAAAATACTAAAGTCCGAACTAGCCTTTGGTATATAAGGTATTTTAAGTGCTTTTGTTTAAGGCTGTGGTTGGCACAAATTGTCTTAACCTACACACGCATGCTGTGGTACACCAATCCCCCTCACAGGTAAACAAGAACCAAAGTTTAAGGTAACTGCATTGAAGCAGTTCTTAAACTTTTGCATTCTCATATGAGGATAATTGAATAAGTTCTAAAATTTGCACAGGAGATTATTTAAAATTTGCACAAGACTTTATTTCAAAAATAATAAGATGGACAGGGTATTTCTGACTTACCTAATTGTGTTCTAGAATTATAAGATTGTCAAGACTTATTGTCATGATTTTACAATTGTGCGTGTGTCCACATGAACACAGTTACCCAGTGGAGTCCAGAAGAGGGAATTAGATTCTTTATAACTGACTACCTGTGATTTTTAGCCACACCCTATGGGTGATGAACCAGGTTTGAGTTCTCTGCGTGCTCTTAACTGCTTAGCCAGTTCTCAGGCTCACAACTAATAGGGTTTAGATAAAACAATCTGGTTGTGCTGGCTAAATTGAAAAGACAAATCTTTTCAAAGATGTATTTTATTTATTTTTGTTTTTCAAGACAAGGTCTTACACTGTAACTCTGGCTGGTCTGGAATACACTGTGTAGACCTGGTTGTCCTTGAACTCTCAGAGATCGGCTTGCCTCTGCCTCCAGAGTGTTGGGATTAAAGCCATTACACATGGCTAAGACTTGTTTTATTTTTAATTGCCTATGTTTGTGTGTGTTTATGTGTGAGTTTATAGGTGCGAGTGCAAGTACCCAAAGGCCAGAAGTCATAGATTTCCTGGAGCTACTGTTCCAGGGAGTTTTGGACCATAAGTGACCTAAACTCAGGTCTTTCAGAAGAGTTGTAGATCCTCTTGACTGCTGAACCATCTCCAGGCCCTGAGAAGAAAAATCTTAATGCTGGTCCTCTCAGAAAAATGCCCTTTGACTTTCCTTAGGGCATTTTTATTAGCCTGTATTAACTGTACAAAGCCACGAGTCTTATATTTTTAGTATGTATAATACACTTTAATCATTTCACCCCCAACCCTCCCTCTCCCCTTCCTCTTTCAAAAAGTCCCTATCTGTTTTCACATCTTTAGATAAGTGCATGTGTGGGGAGTCTGTACCTTCCCACCCACTTTGAGACTGGGTCTCTCTATGTGGTCCCTTGTTATCCTTGAACTCGCTATATAGACCAAACTAGCTTCAAACTCACAGAGATCCACCTGCCTCTCCTCGGATTGAAAGTGTGTGTCACCATTCCTGCCTAGGAGTGTTTCCTTTGTGAAACTTGTTTTCTTCCTTCCTGGCCTTTAAGAGGAGAAGCTGACAGACCACAGTCAGTTTGTGGGAAGTGTGGCCACTATCTGAAGCACCCTTCCTTTTCTTCATCAGCATTTCTAGAACCCCTGAGGTAACTGATTATACATCTTGCCTGTTCTTCTGATGGGACCCATCCAGCGGTGTAAATTTTAGCTCCCACGACATTCCTCCCTCCAGCCTGGAAAGTGGAGTTTTTAGATTACCTTTTGATAAACATTTGCTTCTGGTTCTGCCAGGGTACTTCGGACTGTGTCTTTCCAGATGATATTTTGCTAAGTTTTCTTCTCCTTTTAGATGGCCACCACCATAATCATACTGTATGTGTCTAAGCTAAATAAAATAATCCACTTCCCTGATTTTGACAAGAAAATTCCTGGAAAGGTATGTGTTGAAACACTAATGAATAAAATAAAACAAAACACAACAAACCAAAAAAAAATGTAAGCAAACAAAGACATAAAAACAAAAGTGGAATAGGATTTAAAAACTGACCTGCAAGCAGGGGCCTGTTCTATACACTTTGGATTACACTTCCTGCTTACACTCAGTAGAAAACTGAGTTTTCTTTCTTTTTTTTTTTTTTCCTTTCTTTGAGATTGGCCTTTTTTATGTATCTTAGATTGGCTTTGAATTAAAAATCCTTCTGCTTCAGCCTCTTCAGTGCTGGAAGAGAAAGTTCTTAAGTAAATATTTTATAAATAACTATTTATGTAATTCAGTGAAGATAAAAAAAATATGGTTGGGTTGGGTTTGGAGGTCAGTCAGTGAGCAAGTGTAGGCCTGAATTTGGATACCCTATGCCTATGTAAGCCCTGCCTCATGCCAGCATTGAAGTAGAAGACAGAGGAAAAAGTGAATACATGTGCTTAACAACCCAGATACTCTGAGTTTTCAGAGCCAGGGTTTGCAAACTCTTTGGCTCAGGGCCAGGCTCTCTCTATTATTGTACCATAAAAGCAGCCCTGTGAGATATGTAAATGAACCAGTGCAGTTATGTTACAATGAAACTTTATTTATATAAACAAGGCACAGGTCGGATTGACCCTGGTTCCTAGTTTACTGTGTATGCTTTCAGATTTCATTTTAGTTTAAACCGATATAAGCTATGAGTAAAGAATTGAATATACAATTTGATATATTAGATATATAAGCAGAAATATACATGGAAGCAGCATTAAAAGATCTGACTTCCTCCTGGGAATATGGAGTGTAAGCATTTTTTTTTTTATTGGATAGTAGCAGGGAACCTGGCATGAGGCAGACATTAAATTCTTAGAGTAATCCTTTGACAGGTGATATGAGATAGCTGATGCTAGTCTTTGGATTAACAGGTTTAATTGGTATTTCTTAAGGGTGAGGCCCTTGAATGGCTTCTTCTCATATATATATTTATAGTTGATAATTTTAGGATGCTAGGTCAGATACAAGGCTGGGAGTGGATGACTTTCAAGGAGACTAAAAATAGCCCAAGATAATTTCTTTTGTCTGCCATGTTTTAATTCTCCATAACCTTGAAGTTTCCCTATTTGGTCTTCTAGAATCTTCAACACAGGGACAGCTTCTTCTCTCTTTCTCTTCCAACGTCTTCCCTGTCTCCACTCCCTTCTTTGGGAACTTAAGTTCAACAGTGTGGATTTAAAGTAAGGTACTTTATTAGTCTTGCTTTTTTAAAATGCAAGTTCAAGTGATCCAACCAAAATTGCTTGTCAACATTCTAACTATCTTGTCTTTTACCTTCTTTGCTATGGGTGCATATTGATAGACATGACATCTTTGGTCTCAATGTAAGGACTTAAGTATTTCATCATGAAGCAGGGGTCTGTGGGTTTTGGGTGGGTGTACTATTTACTTTTTGCTGTATAATGCAGTGGCTCAAAACAGTAACCTTTTTATAGTCACTCATCGTGATGAAAGGGTTTTGGCAGTGCTGGCTTAAGGCTCTCCTTCCCTGGGGAACATAAGAAAAACTGTTTTAGTTAGGGGACTGGTTTGTGCAGGTAAGAGATGGTCACCCATCTGTCTCTTCCATCTCAGAATACACTCACACACCGTATACACCCAATATACATACACAGGGAGAATATGAGAATGAAGTTCTAACTGCATCTTTTCCTTTTATTGAAGGTGTTCCCTCTGCCTCTTCTCTATGTTGGAAACCACATAAGTGGCTTATCAAGCACAAGTAAATTAAGGTACAGTTCAAGGGTTCAAATACCCAAGTTTGGTTTTCCAAGGTTTTGCTTGGGTGTCGTCCTAATTTGCTTTCTGTTGCTTTGATAAACAACATGGCCCCCAAACAGCTTAGGCAGGAAAGGGTCTATTTTAGCTTTCAGGTTATCAGTTCTTGAGGGAAAGCAAGGCAGGGACTGAAGAGGTGCCAGTTATACTGGTTATGCTGCTTACTGGCGTGCTTCCTCTGGCTTGATCAGCTACTTTTCTTCCTGACCATACTGGCCTGGGTCCTACTCCAATTATCAATCTAGAAAATGCTGCACAGACATGCCCACGGGCCATTGTGATAGAGGTGACTCCTCACTTAAGGTTCCCTCTTCCCAGGGTACCTGGCTCCTAATTTGGGTGTTAGAGAACCAAGCTTAGTATCTCATGATTTTGTGACAGATACTCTACCTATTGAGCCGACTTCCAGCCACTGTTTTTTTATTTTCTTAATAATGCCCTTTGAAGCACCAAAATTTAAAAGTCTTACATATTTAAGTAAAGTATATATAATATAAAATTGATCACTGTATCTGTTTCAGGTGTACAATTCAGGTGCATTAAGAACATTCACACCCACATACAAACCTAGCGTTTGGGAGTCTGAAGCAGGAGGATTGCTGAGAGTTCAAGGCTAGGCTTTGCTACATAATGAGTTCAAGGGTAGCCTTGGAGAGGCCCATCTCCATTTACAGCATAGCCATCACCAATCTTAATTTCAGAAACTTTTTCATCATCTTAAACAGAAACTCCCAATTACTTAAACAGTAATTCCCTTAGTTTAGTTACTGGTACTTGCAGTTTCTCAGCTTCTCTCTCTCCCTCCTTTTCTCTTCCTCCCTCCCTCCTTCTCTTTCTCTGCCACTCATAATGTGTTGCACGCATGTGATTTTGCGTGTGGTGTGTTGCCCATGAGGAGGCCAGAGGGGATGGTGGGTTTCCTCTGAAACTCCCCATCTTATTCTCTTGAGGGAGGGTCTCTCACTGAATTGGAAGCTTACCTTGTTGGTGAGGTTGATTGGCTAGCGAGCTTCTAGGCACATAAAGCCATCAGCCACGCCTAACTTTATATATTGGTGCTAGGCAGCCACGCCTAACTTTATATATTGGTGCTAGGGATTTGAATTCAGGTCCTCATGCTAGCATAGCAAGCATCCTTACCCACTGAGCCATCTCTTTTGCCTCCAACTACAGGTGATCTCTCTTTTATGTTCTGCACCTGTAGCTTTGCCTTCTCTAGCCTACTCATACGATAGACCTCGTTTCTTTTTTCTTTTTCTTTTTTCAGATGGGAGGGATCTGGGTTATTTCTATATTATGATGTTTTAGGAGTTCAGCCATGTTGTAGAATGTGTCTGTCTTTCTTTTAAAGGCTGAATAATACTCCATTTTACATGTGTACCCTGTTTATCATTTAACAACCTAAAACATCAGAGTTTTACATTTTAATTATTTCTAATTTAGATATTGTTTCTTTTTGCAGTTCTAGAGATTGAACTCATACCCTGATGTATGTTATGGAAGTGCTCTACCACCGAGCTACATCCCTAGCTCATCTCTTCTTTTCCTGACTGTGTTGTTAGTATTGTAGCTAAGACATTGTTTGATCTGGCATCATGAGTATTCTCTCTCATACAGATTTAGTTCCCGCATTTTGGTCCTTGCTATATTTTATGTCAGATCATGTATGTATGTATGTACATACATACATACTCACATATATATGCAGTTGATGTTCTGTATGTATGCGTGTGTGTCTTAGTTAGGGTTTTACTGCTGTGAACAGACACCATGACCAAGGCAAGTCTTATAAAGGACAACATTTAATTGGGTCTGGCTTACAGGTTCAGAGGTTCAGTCCATTATCATCAAGGTGGGAGTCCAGGCAGGCATGGTGCAGGCAGAGCTGAGAGTTCTACATCTTCATCTGAAGGCTACTAGCAGAATACTTGCTCCCAAGTAGCTAGGACAAGGGTATTAAAGCCCACACCTACAAGGCCACACTTATTCCAACAAGGCCACACCTCCCAACAGTGCCATTCCCTGGGCCAAACATATATGAACCATTCTGTGTGTGTGTATGTGTGTGTGTGTGTGTGTGTATGATGTATATAGGAATTCAGTCTCATTCTATTCATGGGAGTTATAGATGTCCTGGCACCATCCATTGAAAAGATATTCTTTCTTCCATTGTGCTATCTCTTGAGCCTTGGCAAAAATCAATCTAATGATCTGGGAGAGGTGATGCCTGTCTTTCATTTCACTGTTTAGGAGACAGGCGGGAGGACCACAAGTTCTATGCCAGCCTGGGCTGCATTCATCTGCTTTCTGTGTCTAGGCAAGTTTTCAAGGATAGAGAACAAGTAGCTAGGTGTTAAGGGATAGAGAATTTCTGTTGAGCACATTCAAAGTCCCACTAGGGAGAATGACATTCCTGTAATAAATTATAGTGAGGGGTATGCAGCACATAAAATAAAAGGAAACAAAGTAAAAGAAAAATTGTAATTGCAAGCCTTTGTTTTCTGTCCTTCATTTCTATTCCATTAATTACATGTCTATTATTAAATCAGTAATAGATAGCCTTGGGTTTCTGCAGCTTTGTAATAAATTTGAAGTGTACTGACTTTTTGAAAAAAAAATGTGTGTGCACGCGTGTGCTCGTGTGTGTCTGTCTGCACTTGTACATATGTGTGCATGTATGTGTGTCTGTCTCCCCATGTGCATGAGTCCTTCGGTCTGCAGAGATGGCACAGAGGTTAAGAACATTGTCTACTCTTCCAGAGGTTCTGAGTTCAATTCCCAGAAACTTCATGGTGGCTCACAACCATCTATACTAGGATCTGATACCCTCTTCTGGCATGCAGGTATACATGCAGATAGAGCATTCATATACATAAGAAATAAATTTTAAAAAAACACAAAATACCCAGAATCAGTTCTCTCATTCCACTTTTGTGTCATGGGATTACACTCAGTATCTGGGCTTAGCAGTTTTACCAGCCAAGCTGTCTCTTCAGTACCCAACTTTGTTATTTTAAAAAATATATTTTAAAATAATTTATTTTTTCCCAGAGCTGAGGACTGAACCCAGGGCCTTGTGCTTGCTAGGCAAGTGCTCTACCACTGAGCTAAATCCCCAACCAATTTATTTTATTTTTAATTACGTGTATATGTGTGCGTATGTGCATGTGAGTGCAGGTACCCAAGAAGGTCAGAAAAGGATGTCAGATCCTGTGGAACTAGAGTTAGAGATGGTTGTGAGCTTCCATGTGCATGCTAGGAGCTGCAGTTGGTTCATCTGGAAGAACAGCAAGTGCTCCTAACCACTGAACCCTTTCTCCAGGCCCTTGACTTTATTACTCTTCAACATGGTTTTGGCTTTCTTGGTCCCTTGAATTTCTCTATTAATGTTTGGAATCAACTTGCCAGTTTCTGCAAAGAGAAAGCCAGTTGAGATCTGATAGATTTTGTGTTGAATCAGCGTCTTAGTTAGGGTTTTCGTTGTTGTGAAGAGACACCAAGACCACGACAACTCTTATAAAGGAAAACATTTAATTGGGGCTGGCTTACAGTTCAGAGGTTCATTATCAACGTGGCAGGAAACATGGCAGTGTACAGGTAGACATGGTGCTGGAGAAGGAGCTGAGAGTTCTACATCTTTTTTTTTTATATCAAAGAACTTTAATATGCTGTAATAAAATAAGCGCCTTGAGAAAGCTCACAGAACAGATGTCAATGTTAGAAAAATCCCTCCCCCGACACCCTCTAGCTCCACACCCCATTCCCTCAAAACCAAACCAGAAAATCCTTCCAAGCCTGGACTTCGGTGTGGGCCCCCTTTATCAATAATAAAAACAAAGTTATCTATGTGGTCCAACAGGAAAAGCAAAACACAGAAGCCAGAAAGTCTATGAGATTTCAATATTTAAGAGACTTGGTACATACTCAAAGTTAAAATAACTCCAACTTTTATAGCTATACATACTGTTTTAAAGCAACTTAATATATTCTAAAATTTCATATATATACTCTCAAAGGTTCTTCAGGTGAGGTATGTAAACATTGTAGTAAGGTTTCTTTTATGAAAGTGGGTGCTCTTGCATTTGGTGCATAGATATTCAGAATTGAGAGTTCATGTTGGTTGACTTTTCCTTTGACAAGTATGAAATGTCCTTCCTTGTCCTTTTTGATAGCTTTTAGTTGAAAGTCGATTTTATTCGATATTAGAATGGCTACTCCAGCTTGTTTCTTAGGGCCATTTGCTTGAAAAATTGTTTCCAACCTTTTACTCTAAGATAGTGTCTGTCTTTGTCTCTGAGGTGGGTTTCCTGTCCGCAGCAAAAAGCTGGATCCTGTTTGTGTATCCAGCCCGTTAGCCTATGCCTTTTTATTGGGGAATTGAGTCCATTGATATTAAGGGATATTAAGGAGAGGGTGTTGTTGCTTCCTGTCATTTTTGCTAATAGTGAAGGCATTGTTTGTGTAGTTATCTTCTTTTGGTTTGTTGGAAGGGGATTACTTTCTTGCTCTTTCTAGGGTATGATTGCCCTCCTGGTATTGGCGCTTTCCTGCTATTATCCTTTGTAGTGCTGGATTTGTGGAAAGATACTGTGTAAATTTGGTTTTGTCGTGGAATATCTTGGTTTCTCCATCTATGGTAATTGAGAGATTTGTTGGGTATAATATCCTGGGCTGGCATTTATGTTCTCTTAGGGTCTGTATGACATTTGTCCAGGATCTTCTGGTTTTTATAGTATCTGGTGAGAAGTCAGGTGTAATTCTGATAGGTTTGCCTTTATATGTTACTTGGCCTTTTTCCCTTACTGCTTTTAAAATTCTTTCTTTGTTTTGTGCTTTTTGTGTTTTGATTATTATGTGACGGGAGATATTTCTTTTTTGATCTAGTCTATTTGGCGTTCTGACGGCTTCTTGTATGATTATGGGTATCTCATTCCTTAGGTTAGGGAAGTTTTCTTCTGTAATTATGTTGAAGATATTTACTGGCCCTTTAAATTGGGAATCTTCACTCTCATCTATATCTATTATCCTTAGGTTTGGTCTTCTCATTGTGTCCTGGATTTCCTGGATGTTTTGTGTTAAGAACTTTTTGCATTTTGCATTTTCTTTGACAATTGTGTCAGTATTTTCTATGGTATCTTCTGCACCTGAGATTCTCTCTTCTATCCCCTGTATTCTGTCGGTGATGCTTGTGTCTATGACTTCTGATTTCTTTCTTAGGTTTTCTATCTCCAGGGTAGTCTCCCTTTGTGATTTCTTTATTGTTTCTACTTCCACTTTTATGTCCTGGATGGTTTTGTTCAATTCCTTCACATGTTTGTTTGTGTTTTCTTGCAATTCTTTAAGGGATTTTTGTGTTTCCTCTTTAAGGGCTTCTAACTGTTTACCTGTGTTCTCCCCAAGTTCTTTGATAGTGTTATTTATATCCTTCTTAAAGTCCTCTATCATTATCATTAGAAGTGATTTTAGATCTGGTTTTTGCTTTCCTGGTGATATGGGGCGTTCAGGACTTTCTAACGTGGGAGAACTAGGTTTTGATGATGGCAAGTACCTTGGGTTGCTGATGCTTATGTTCTTGTGCTTGCCTTTCGCCATCTGGATCTCCTTTGTGCTATCTGCACTGTCTCTGACTGGAGCATGTCTTTCCTATTATTTAGGTTGTGTCAGAACTGTTTGGGATGGGTTTTGCTGCTGGGGTTAGAGCTGAGGCCCAGGATCTGCTCAGTGCTCCGGTCCAGGAGTGAATTCCTGGGTCCCAGTGGGTCCCAGTTACTCCCTGTTTGGGGCAGGTGTTGCCGCCTTCTTGCCTAGGATACTGCTTAGGTTAGAGCTCCTGGGAGCCCTGCTTCCTCTGGGTTCTGAGAAATTGGGTGCAGAGCTGTTTCCCGGGATCTGGTGAGCGCTGGGGCCCAGACCGGAAGGAGCCCGCGCTCTGGGCCAGGAGTGAATTCCTGGGTCCCATTGGGTCCCAGTTACCCCTGTTTGGGGTGGGTGTTGCTGTCTCCTTACCTGAGATGCTGCCCGAGTTAAAGCTCCTGGGAGGCCCTCTTCCTCTGGGTTTTCTGAGGTTGGGTACAGAGCTGCCGCCTGAGATCTGCTCTATGCTCGGGCCCAGACCGGAAGTCCAGAGTTCTACATCTTTATCCACAGGCAACAGAAGTGACTTTGAGCTACACTGGGCATAGTTTGAGCACATGAGACCTCAAAGTCTAGCCCCACAGTAACACACTTCCTCCAGCAAGGCCACACCTATGCCAGCCAGGCTCCATCCCTAATAGTCCCAGGAATTCAAACACATGAATGAATCTATGGGGGTGGGGCCATACCTATGCATGCTACCACAAATGAGTTTGGGAAAAAGTTATTTAATCTCTATTTTATGACTTAACATGATTTGTTAGTGGGAGATATTACAATGAATGTTAACTCATTCTATTTTTTTGTTTTGTTTTGTTTTGTTTTTTGTTTGTTTTGTTTTCGAGACAGGGTTTCTCTGTGTAGCCCTGGCTGTCCTGGAACTCACTCTGTAGACCAGGCTAGCCTTGAACTCTTGAGCTCAGAAATCCGCCTGCCTCTGCCTCCCAAGTGCTGGGATTAAAGGCGTGTGCTACCACCGCCCGGCTAACTCATTCTATTTAATTTGGAAAATGACCTTAATTAAAAATGTTTACTGTAAAAAAAAATGTTTACTGTGTTTAAGAACAAAAATAGCAACTGACACTCTGTGTCTGATGTTAGGGTTGAATCTTTTCTGACAGCTTGCCGATGTTCACCGTGCTCAGGAAATTTACGATTCCACTTACTTTATTCCTGGAGGCCATCATACTTGGGTAAGTTTTGTTTTTATTTTTGTTTGTTTGTTTTCATTTCTTCATTGTTTCCCAAGTACTGTGTTTGTATGGCTGGGCATGTTTGTATATTCATATATCTATATCTATATCTATACCTATACCTATACCTATATCTATATCTATATCTATATATGTTACACGTGGGTGTGTGAGACTATGTATATGCATGTAGAAGACATGGGTTGCTATCCTATATTTTTCTCTATTGCCCTCCACTGTTGTTTGAGACAGGGTCTCCTACTGAACCTGGAGCTCACTGATTGGCTAGATTGGCTGGCCAGCAAACCCTCTGGATCTGCCTCCTAGACTTGTGCTGTGGCCTAGATTTTCACTTGGGTTTTGGGTATCTGACCTCAGATCCTCATGCTTGACGCTTGCTGAACAAGACTTTATCGACTGAGCCACCTCCCCAGTCTCTCTCTGTTTTTTTGTTATTCCACATATTCTCACCATGGGGTCCTCTTTTTGAGTAATTGATTCGAGTTGCTGCTTGCAGCAACTGATGAAATATTATCTGTTCATTTAAAGAAAAGTCAACTGTTGTTCCACGATCCCTTAGTATCTTAATGAGGGTTATTTAAATGTTTATTTTATAGCAGACAAATGGCATTGTAGTAGGAGATTATAAAAGAAATAACAACCATCCTTAAACAGATAGGAATCTGTGTGCTGAGCTGAATGGAATGAGTAGTGACAAAGAGCTGCCCACAGACAGGGGAGGCAGGCAGAAGAGCAGGGGGCACAGTTCTCATGTGCCATGGCATGATGTCAGAATAAATTAAATCTCATAAATGTTGATATACATTTGTCCTATGAGGATGCTCAGGCTGACCCCTGAAAATGCAAATTTTGATTTTGCCATAAAGACTTTTAGTTAAAGGTACAATGTCTTAGTCCTTAGCCTGTGCATCGAGTCTTCTTCTGTATTTTGTCCCACCATCTTTCCAAGGGGAGGAGAAAAATCACTTTATAAGTAGATTAAGGAAACAGCTTAAGAAATTTGGCCTGATTTACATTTCCAGGGCCTTCTCTACATGAGCATGTTAGATGTCGGATTTTAGCTATGGAGCCACTGATGTCTGTTTTCAGGGTTATTTTTTTAAAAATCAACATAATAATATTTTTTTCTCTCCACCTGTTCCCTTTCTTTTTTCTTGACTACAGGAAACAGTATTCATTGAACATCATCCTCAGCGTCTTGGCCATCGTTCTTGGGGCTTTCATAGCAGCTGGGTGAGATTTGACCCTGCCCTGCTGTTCAGTAGCTTCTTGCAACCCTGTCCTATGGATTTTCTTCCTCCATCTTTCTGCAGCTGGATTGATTGAGCAGCTAGGAGACAAATCTGTTGAGTTGGTGGCACTCTCGTGTGTTCCTGTGAGCATAAAGAAAAAAAAAATGTCATGGGCAGTAAGGGTAGTTGTCAAAAGTGGCCCAACACAGCTTAAAATATTACAAGACATTTTTTTGGTGATTTTTTTTTTAATTCAATTGTGTGGGTCTTGAGTATAAATTCTGTAGATGACAGTGTTCTGTTGTAAGCACCACAGGATATTAACATAACTACCCTCTACAAAAGGCAGTGACCAGTTTACTTTTGCCATTGAGTGGCCTTAGTTTAAAAGTTCTATTTGGCCGGGCTGTGGTGGCGCACGCCTTTAATCCCAGCACTTGGGAGGCAGAGGCAGGCGGATTTCTGAGTTCGAGACCGGCCTGGTCTACAGAGCGAGTTCCAGGACAGCCAGGGCTACACAGAGAAACCCTGTCTCGAAAGACAAAAAAAAAAAAAAAAAAAAAAAAAAAAAAGTTCTATTTGAGGTGTTCTTGGCATTTGGTTTAAAATAAAAGATTAAGGTTACAGTAATTAGGGTATCAGTGATACAATGTGTACTTAGCATGCACTAGGGTCCATGTTCATTCCATAGCACCCAACACACACACTCCACCTAAAACAAGCCAACAGGTTTATAAACCTGTTTGGTTTGTTTGTTTGTTTGTTTGTTTGTTTTTTGTTTTTGTTTTGTTTTTATTTTTTATTTTCTTTCGAGACAAGTTTTTCTGTGTAACCCTGGCTATCCTGGAACTCATTCTGTTCCTTCAAGTCTATTCAAATCCATCAGGTTCATTCAGATCCAGGCTGGCCTTGAACTAAGGCCTGGGATTAAAGACATTCACCAACACTGCAGGGTCAGTTATTGTTTTATTGTTCCATGATAACTGGTAGAGTGTGGCCATTACATATGCTGGTATGTTCCACAACAGGCCAAGGCTAACTACTAGTTCAGACTTCTTCCCTTTGCTACTAATATGTAGAAGCAAGGCAGGGGAAATGCCCTTGTGTTTGCAGAGGTCAGAGGTCAACGTTATTCCTTAGGAGCTGTCCATTTTGTTTTCTTTAAATTTTTTTCTTTTTAATTTTTTAATTTATTTTTTTGTGTGTGTGAATTACATATTATGCACTCCAGTCCCACCCATTTCCCAGTCCTTCCATCTCTGCCCTCCATCCTTATAACCTACCCTGAGAAAAGAAAAAAAAAAAAGACACCATGCCATGGAAGATGCGGTGTGTCATGGTATATCACACAGTATATACCCTTTTGTCCAAACGACTTGCCCATTTGTTTCTTGAGTCAGGGATTTTTACTGACTTAGAGTTTGCTGATTCAGCTAAGCTGACTGGCCACGGAGCCCCAGGGATCCACCTGTCTCCCTTTCTCAGTTCTAGGCTTAACAATCGAATGTCACCATGTCTGAGTTTCTAATGTAGATTCTGAGGATTGAACTCAGGTGCTTGTGTTTGTGTGAAAACACTTTACCAACTGAACTACCTGTCTAGCCCCTAAAGAAAAGCTATAGACAAGTTGAATTTAACACTTCTGTTGCTCAAAGGAATAATTTGCAAATCTAGAAGTTCCCTCCAGCAATTCCTGCAGGCAGCATTTATGAACAAGAAGGAAAATTAGGTAGACTGGTTAACCAAAACATGCTGCTTTGGTATCAGGGTTGTTCTGAACTCAAAGATAATTGAGAACCAAGAGACACAAGGAGACCCTTTGTGCCTGAGGTTTAGCCTCCTTTTGTGGAAGTGGACTAACCAGAGCTGCCATATCTACTGCTGAACACAGGTAGCTGGCACTCAGATGAGTCTGCTTAATTCAATTCTAAAATAACCTTTCCCTGCCACTGTTTCCTCGTGTGTTTCCTGCTAGGTCCCAGTTTGTCTTTGGCACTGAAACCTTTGCTAAAATATTACATAAATCTCTATATCCAACTGTTTGGAAACAGTGAGTTTCATTTTTCTGTGGATTACTGTGCATGAAAAATACTAACGTAATTCCTTTTTGTCTGTGAAGTTAGCAGTCCCCAACCAGCCAGAAGCAATGTTACTTGCTTGTGGTATTATGTACCACAAAGGGGTATTGTCTGAGTTGCAGACCCTCCTGGGCAAAAGTAGTAAAATCCTGTCTCAGTAACAACCAAGTAACCAGCTATTTAGCTAGCTAGCTAAATTCACAAGCTCCAGGTATTCATCCTAAGAAGGTGTATGAAAGGTTTGTCTTCTGACAATTTATATTATGGGTTAAGCAGGAAGTGTGGGTGGGCAAATCACATCACATGATATGGTTGTCTGCCTCATCCACATGTCATGTCCCTTCGACATTTTTATGTTAGTACTACTTATTTTGTAGGGAAATTGCTGAGGTGCTCAGAATCCTGGAAGGAAGGAGACTTGGAAGGCTTGCATAGGCACATAGGGTGTGCTTCACCCTTTGACAGATGAGGAACTGTCTGGGCACCAGATGGAGGTGTCACTCCCAGGCTATCCCCTGAGAATGGCCCTGCTTATAATAAGCAGGGCTACTGGTGGGTGGGCAAACAGTGCCCTCAGGACAGCCACAGCTTGCTAATTATTGTGCCAATCTATCAGTTAACAAACAAAGGGTTTGCAGTTAAAACTAGATGGTTCAGGTCCCTGGGTCTTAAGCTAAGTGTAATTAAACGGAGGTCGCTTGACCAGCTGTCTTGTTCTCATCTGGGAGGAACCAGAGGAGTTAATGACTCACTGCTGGTGGGGGAATAATTTGCCTCAGAAAAGATGGTACTAGCACTGCACACAGATCTGACCAGGCCAAGACAAGCAAGCATGCTCTCAGGCCAGCTTGAGAGTGTCTTTATAACACCTCCCCTTCCTGTTCTCCCTGCCAGCTCTGACCTCACATTCAACTTGGAAGGCTACATTTTTGTATTCTTGAACGATATCTTCACAGCAGCAAATGGAGTTTATACCAAACAGAAAATGGACCCAAAGGTACCGGACCTTCCTTCCTGCAGCTTGACGCTCATGCCATCTGGCTCTTGGAATGACATGAAAAATGACTACGAGCATGTTCAGTTGGCATGTAACTTGATGCACGCCCTGTGATCTAGAAACTACTGATTTCTTCTTAATTATCTTATCTGTATAAGACCTTGTTATTCTTGATATTGCAAGAGTTTGGTTGAAAATTAGAGAGGAAGAGATGTCACTGTTATGTGTGCGTGTGTGTGTGTATGTGTGTGTGTGTATACATACATATATATGTATGTATGTATATATACATATATTTGCTTTTCAAGATGTACATGAATATATATGGACATATGTATTCCTGAGTATATATGTATATAAATATGTATATAAATATGTATATTTATATACATTTTGGAAATCAAATTCATTTTTTTAAAGCAGTATCATTAGTGACCATGACAGATTCAGAAGGAAGTGGGACAGTGTCATGATATTAACACTGAGAGCATTAGTCTGTGCTGTGGGTTTCCAGTTGTAAGCTTCGGTAACTCAGAGGCCATTACGCCTTCATTTCTTTAAACCTGTTTCCTCATAAAGTGAGATGGCTGGTGATCATTTGTCATGTCCTCCAATAGTAACCGGCTCTTCAGATTGCAAGCTGCTGGGGCTGCCCCAGCCCTCACCCAGCCCCAGCTGTGACCGGAAGCTGTCTGGGGTGAGCCAGCATATGGGTCTTTGTTCTGGGCTCTTTGTGCTTTGTAAGGGAGTTCTCCCTGACTGATGGGTGCTTTTTTGTGAGCTATTTTTAAAATCTGTATGCCCATTTGTCTCTTTGAATGGTGACGGTTTTACAAAAACAGGTTCATTGCCTTCCTGAAAATACAATATGTCACACACACACACCCTTTTTTTTTTTTTTAGGAAAAGTGGGTGGCCACTTTAGTGAAAGCAAACACGGTAGGCTGTTACTCTTTAATGGATGGAGCAGATGTTTTAAAAGAATTGGTTAACATTTTAAATTTCCATTATCTCATTTCAGATTTGCTACTTTGTTTTTTTTTTTTTTTTTTTTTTGGTTTTCTTCGAGACAGGGTTTCTCTGTGTAGCCCTGGCTGTCGTGGAACTCACTCTGTAGACCAAGCTGGCCTCAAACTCAGAAATCCACCTGCCTCTGCCTCCCAAATGCTGGGATTAAAGGCGTGTGCCACCACCGCCCGGCTAGATTCGCTACTTTGAATAACGTGTTTAAGAGTGGAGTGTTAGAGCTGGGTAGGGCCTCAAGCCCTCTATTTTCATCCATTGTACATGTGCTTGTTGATGTAGAACGAATATTTATTCTGAAGTTACAACACAGTGCAATGGTCCATTTTACAACAGACATGGGCGAAAAGTCTTACAGTACATTGCCAGCATTTTACATATTTTAATTATGCATAAATAGACACATTGGCCCAGGAGACATGAATACTTTAGAGTTCTAAAGTTGAATGCAATCTTCTTATTCACACAGGAACTGGGGAAATACGGAGTCCTTTTCTACAATGCCTGCTTCATGCTCATCCCAACTGTCATTATTAGCGTCTCTACTGGAGACTTTCAGCAGGTAAATATGGTCTGTGTTATGAACATGGTTAAGGTAAGTGAGGCTGAGCTGTGATGTTCTAGGATGAGTTTGTTGAATGCATCGTTGACTGCATTGTATTTTTACTCTGTGGGTAGATCAAGAGTTAGCTTCGTTGTTAGCAGAGGGGTAATTTATTAAGTTCTCATATTCTAGGAGAATTTTGCCTCCTGATGTGGTGTCGGATCACCTACTGTTTGCCCTCTCTGACCTCTTTCAGACTCTGGAGATTTAGGCAGAGCTCTCTGAATTGAGTGCCAGGCACTGAAATTGCAGATAGACCAGAAAGCTTTGTAGAATTATTATTAAGAAAAAAAAATATGACTAGAAAAATACATCTAAAGATCTAAGAGCAATATCTAGGGCTGGGGACGTCACTAAGTGGTAGAATACTGACGGGCTTGCACAGGACTGTGGGTTTGATCCTTGGTGTCACAAAGGGAAGAGGGGGATGGAGATACATTTTTTTCTTTAAAATGATAAAATACAAAAGCTATAATGTTTAAAATGCAACTTATTTGGGTTGGAGAGAAAGCACCTGCTGCCAAGCTCGATGACCAGAGTTCCATCTCCAGGACCCATATTACAGATGGAGAGAGCTGACTCTGAAAATATTGCCTTCTGAGTGTCGTGTGTGTGCTGTGTCTAAGCCACACACCTACACACACACACACACACACACACACACACACGTAATAGAAAACCTAAAAATTAAAAAGAGTACACTTTTAAAGTATTGTATGACAAGAGGTGACCAGAAATGTAAGATGTACACTGTAATTAGTAATGAAAATGAGAGAGACCCCAACAGGAAAAATTGATACGTTTTCACTCTATTACTATTTGAAACATTCACTGAATTATTCCAAGGTCTTTTAGCTGGTTGCTTGGGGCCATGACTGGGTCCATTTTAGACCATGAACTAAGTATGATAAAGAAGGGAGTGCCTGTACATCTGTATGAAGTTTGAGTTGATGGATGACACAGAGGAAATATTCTCTCTCTGTCATTGGAGGAAGAGTGAATGAGTCGACCAACGGGGAGAGATGGAACGGACTTTGGACTTTGGACTTACAACATAGTCAGTGGATTATTAACTGTGCTTTGGTTCTGCCTCTGGGAAATGAAGTCAGAGATAAAACTCCTTCTGTGAATAAACCCCAGGTCCTTGGGAGATACTCATTTGACTTTCCCTACAGTAGGGCCAAAATACATGTAGTGTGTTGCAACTGAGGGAGAAGATTTTTAAAATATTGATTTTTTTTTTCCTGATTGAAAGCCCCTCCAAGGTGTAAAGGATTCATAATTCAGCATGCTTTGTAGATTCTGTTTCTTCAAATGTTACCAATATAGATTCACTCCTAAAGATAGAAAACTAGCACTTATTAAAGTGTGGGCTGCTGAAGAACCTATATATTTTAATAAATATTACTAAGTAACCCTTCCTGGGTTTATGGTGTCAAGAGTAAATAATTTTCATTTATCGTTTATACAAATACTTCTAGCTCTTGGTTCTTATCGCATTACAATTTATTTGTTCATTTAATTTGTGTGTGTGTGTGTGTGTGTGTGTGTAAGGATGTTGTCTTAGTTAGGGTTTTACTGCTGTGAACAGATACCATGACCAAGACAACTCTTATAAGGACAACATTTAATTGGAGTTGGCTTACAGGTTCAGAGGTTCAGTCCATTATCATCAAGGCAGGAACATGGCAGCATCCAGGCAGGTATGGTACAGGAGGAGCTGAGAGTTCTACATCTTCATCTGAAGGCTGCTAGCAGAATACTGGCTTCCAGGCAGCTAGGATCAGGTTCTTCTAACCCACACCCACAGTGACACATCTACTCTAACAGGGCCACACCTACTTCAACAAGGCCACACCTCCAAAGAGTACCACTCCCTGGGCCAAGCATATACAAACCATCACAGATGTACTCATGACATAGTTCACATAGGTAATCAGAAGACTATTCGATAAGTAACAATAAAATCTTTTTATGATGGAAACTTTCAAACATAAAAGTTTGGAAAGTAGCATAATAAGCCCTTGTTTAAATAGTTTCTGATATTTAATGCTTTGTCTCTTTCATAGAAATGTGTAATTATTGTTAATGCATCAACGGCACAAAAGGTAAGGTTGTGCCAATTGGATTTAAACCGAACTGTCACTAACCACATGATGGATCTTTTTCTTTGTCATCACAGGCCACTGAATTCAGCCACTGGAAGAATGTCTTATTTATCCTACAGTTTCTTCTATCCTGTATTTTGGGGTAAGAAACTGTATATAAGTGAAGTTGGTTGATAGTATTTCTTGACATGTCAGATCTAATTTGTCTGTCATCTGTCTGCTCTGTCAGAATCCTCTTTCCTGGGTTTCTCTTGACTTTCTCTGGACAGGGCACTCATCCTCCTGCACTCCCAACACATCCACCAGCTCTGCATTTGCAGGCTTTGTCTGTGCTAAAAGTACAGACTTTATATCCTTGCTGGTCCAGACATTTCAGTATCACAGCTATTTATGGAGGTCAGAGAGAGTGCTGGATCCCCTGGAACTGGAAGTTAGAGGTGGTACGAGTCATCATGTGGGTGGTGAGAACCCAATCCAGGTCCTCTACAAGAGCAGCAGGTGCTCTTAACACACTGAGCACTGTACCAGTTGTATCTCCAGGACTTTCAAAGCACTGGCTAAAATTGGGTTCTTGAGACCCCTTCCTCAGGGGCAAGCCATTTGCTAGAGCATCTTGCAAAACTTGCAGATAAATACTTGATACCCAGAGGCTTGTTAATAAAGGGTAGTTCTAAGGACGCAGATGAGCAGCCAGAGGAAAATAATTCAGAGTCTTGGGAAGGTGATCAGTGGAGGTAGAGTGCACTGCTCGCTCACCCGGTGAACAGAAAGTTCATTCTTGTTTCCCTTCTTGTAAACCAAGCGCTCAGTTGTCATGACATAGACGTGATTGGTGTGTGGACTGTGGTGTGGAGATGCAACTGGACAGAGTGTGTTCTCATGTTGGTAGACAGCATGGGGAAGCCTGGAAAGCCTTCTTGTTCAGATGCTTCCTGATCCCTCTCTGTAACTTACTTTCCTCAAGATGTTGGATCCTACCTTTCAGAAACAGGGCTTTTACGATCATTTACAAGATGAGATAAGTCAGAGAGTTTCTTTATGGCCAGCTCCGAGTCAGAAGGGGGAGAAAGATGAACGGATATATGTCCAAGGAGGAGATTCTGGTTCCTGTGACTTACCTGTGACTGTGGGTATGAGCCCGAAATCAAAGACAAAACGGGTGGTATCTTTAGTTACTTTTTTCCTGGCTGTGACAAAGCAACTTAAGGATTCACTTTGGCTCACTGAGAGTAAGGTCCATTTGGCAGGGAAGGTGTCGGGAGAGAGGCAGCCGACACTTTGTATCAGTAGTGAAGCAGAGAGAGGTGAATCTGGATACCCAGCTCATTGTTCCCTTTTATTCAGTCTGGGACCAAAGCCCATGGGATTGTGCCGCCTCCATTTGGGTAGGTCTTCCCTCTTCAGCTAAAAATTTCTGGAAACTCCCTCCCAGCAATGCCCAGTAGTATTTTTCCATGGTGATCTTAAGTTTAGTCATGCTGACAAGACTGACTGCCGGGGTACCATTACATTCAGTAGCAGATGTGTAAATTGGTTTATTGTCTTTAGACAATTTAATTCTCTAAAGGTGGGTACTACACTCCTGTAAGTGCTGGCGTGTGTTGTACGGAACTCAAAAATAAGTAAATAAATAAATACAAACAGAAACCAATCAATGGGATTTCCCGTGTGTGGGATAGTTTTGTGTCAACTCGACACAAGCTAAAGTTATCTGATTGGAGGGTACCTCAACTGAGAAAATGCTCCCATAACCTCCGGCTGTAGGGCATTTTCTTAATTAGTGATTGATGTGGGAGGGCCCAGCCCATTGTAGGTGAGGCCATCCCTGGGCTGGCGTTCTATAAGAAAGCAGGCTGAGTAAACTATGGGGAGCAAGCCAGTAAACAGCACCCCTCCATGGCTTCTGCATCAGCTCCTGCCTCTAGGTTCTTGCCCTATTCCGGTTCCTGTCCTGACTTCCTTCCATGACGAACAAGTGAGTGTCATGAAGGTATAAGCTGAATAGACCTTTCCTCCCCAAGTTTCTTTGGTCAAGGTGTTTCGTCACGGAAATAACCCTAAGACACCATGTATGGAATTCACGAAGGCTCTTTTAGATCAATGTCTTAGTCTTATCCAATGTCCTTTATAAATAATTATCTGCATGTAGAAATATTTCTTTCAGAATAACTTAGCATGTGTGTGTCCATGTGTGTAGAGTATGCACATGTTTGTACATGTGTGTGATGGCCATAGGTCGCCATCAGGTATCTCCCCTATCAATCTCCACCTTGCTTTTTGACATACGGTCTCCCACTGAACCAAGAGCTCTCTGATTTGGCTAGACTGGACAGTTAGCAAACCCAAAGACCCTCTGTCATCTTTCTAACTCCCAGTCCTGGGATTACATGTGTGCACCATCCAACCTGGCTTTTTATATATATATATATATATATGTGTGTGTGTGTGTGCTCGAGATCTAAACACTAGTCCTCATCCTTGCAAACACTTTACAGGCTGAGCCCCATTTAAAAATAATTTTTCTACTCTCCCTCTCTGAGGACATCTAGTGGTCATATTGAGAAGTGCAGCTTCTCTATCTCCAAACCCTGTGTTAGACAGGATTGGGGTTCATTCCCAGCAACTCCAGTTTGTTAGCCAGGATCCCCTCCCCTAGCTTAGCACAGCTGACTTTCAATACTCCTGGTAGAGGGTACTGAGATCTTGGGGTTCTAGTTACTATATCTGCAGGCAGGCCAAAGTGTTTTTCAGAGTGCCTGACTAGAACCTGGGGTTGGAATTTTTCAACAGAAATAAAAAAGAATATCCATGCTTGTCCTTGTGGAAGGCTGAGCTCAAGTTTGGAAGCCACAGGATACAGCCTGGGTTGTGGGTGTGGCTTCACAGGTGTATGCTGGGTACTCTGAGCTCCTCCCTGTTAGGTAGTGTCATCTCCTCAGATCACCAAGGTCAGGCAGAGCTGCACTTGGTGATAGAAACACAGGGCCAAGTTTTAAAAACTTATACCTGGATAATATTATTAATTGAATTTTTAAAAAAGATTTGTTTATTTAATGTATGTGAGTACACTGTCGCTGTCTTCAGACATACCAGAAGAGTGCATCAGATCCCATTACAGATGGTTGTGAGCCACCACGTGGTTGCTGGGAATTGAACTCAGGACCTCTGCAAGAGTAGAGGGTGCTCTTAACCACTGAGCCATCTCTCTAGCCCAAGTTTGTTAAAATTATAACAATTGAAGACATACATGCACACATTATATATTTGGGGCATGGGTGGTCTCATGTGACCTAGGCTGGCTTTGATGCAGCCAAGGCTACCCTTTAACTCTCTAGCCTCCTGTCTCCAGTACTGAGATGGTGACGGGCATACAGCACCATGTGGGGTCCTAGAAACAGATTTTTCCCGAAGTGCCCAAGTTCAGCGCCTAAATACTAGTACCTCATTCACAAAACTAGTAACATTTCTATAAAAATGAGGACACTTGGCAGGCATAGCGGTGCGTGAATGTCTTTAATCCAAGCACTTGGAGAGCACAGGCAAGTGTTTCTCTCTGAGTTCAAGGCCAGTCTTGTCTACACATGAGTTCCAGGCCAGCTAAGGCTACATAGAAAGATCCACCCTCAAACACATCTCAAAACAAACAGACCTCAAAGTAAAACAAAAAATGCAGTAGGTTACCAAAAACAAAGACAAAAGACTCCCCAACAAAACAGAAGCCTCGGGAGAATAGAAAGGGAGTAACTGAAAGGGGAGCAGCGGGAACCGGATGTGACCAAATCACACTGCATACATGTGTGAAGATGTGGGGTTAATATCTGCTGATAAAATCCTTTTCTTTCCCTCACTTTGTGGATGCACCATAAAAAATGGAGGAAGCTTGGCTTATGTACAGCTGAACCTTTTTCCTCCGCCTTGTAAAAAGCCCAGTGACGAATGTCTAGATCCGGGTTCTAGAACCTTCATGACACCCAGAGCAGGCCGGCGCTCACATTGTTTGTCTCCTGCCCTCAGGTTTCTGCTGATGTACTCCACAGCTCTTTGCAGTTATTACAACTCAGCTCTGACCACGGCGGTGGTTGGAGCGATCAAGGTAAGTGATGGAGCCTTGCGCTAAACATCTGGGTGGGAGCCACATGAAAACCGCGTGTTGAAAGCTGCTTTTTGCTGCGGACAGAGATGCAGTGAGTGTGGTGGCTTGTGACACTAGGGGTCGCTGTGTGATCCCCGCTGCTGATCTAATGTAGAGTGAGGTTGCTAAACCTCTTTTCCCCCACCCCCTATAGTGATTATTACTTTAAAATTGGAGGCAGGTGAGGGCATAATTTGGGAGAAACAAGTAACAGCTGGAAAGAAAAATAATCCAAATATCCGTGATCACTTCATTGTCTGGAATTTGTTTTGCTGTGAGAACCTGCCCAACTAAGAAGAAAAATCCATCTGAAGGAATGTTTTTAGTACTTATACTCTATGATAAAGCAGTGCAAAGGTGTCTGCGTGTGCCTGTGTGCATTTGAGGTCACAACTCTTTCCTCTTCGCATAAGCTCTCCTAAAGGGAGTGAGCAAACCTTAGCCCCTCAGTGGCTTCCTCAAATGGCTTGAGTTCTACTTAGAACTTAGCTGCCTGCCCTGTTCAGGTTGGGTGTGATAAGGTTAAAATTTCCTGTGCCAGTGATGGTATGAATATGGGAGCAGCTAGCAAATAAATTACAGCTGTACTCTCCCAACCTCTTGCCTGCAATACGGGGAGGGCGAGCAGTGCAGTTTTTGGTAACTACATTTTAGTTGACTTTATAAAGCCATATGTCATTAAGGTATTCCATGCAAGCCTCTATGCAAAGTAACCCAACGTCCAGCTTCAGGTGTCCCGAGAGTTGCATTTCCCCCGAAGTTCCTTACTTTTCAGTGATGAGCCCCCTCTCTTTGCAGAATGTATCGGTTGCCTACATTGGGATGTTGGTTGGTGGAGACTACATTTTCTCCCTCTTAAACTTTATAGGGTTAAATATTTGGTAAGTGAGACTTTTAAATGAACTCACAGTTACTAAGGGATTTAACACGATCACTAGGTATATAAGAAGCAGAAAAGCAAGGAGAAAGGTCTTACTGTTTGCCACGCTCAGGACGGAACCAGGGCCATGTGGGTGCCAGGCAAGTCTCTGGGGATGTGTGTCATAAGGATCTCAGGGCTAAGTCTGAATTCAGTTCACACATCTTCCTCCCTCCATGTGGGTCTCATTACCTGTGTGGCCTTTTGAAAGCCTGTGGCCTGAGGATGCTGTTGGCACTCGGATGCTTTTGAACACATTTTTGGGTTCTAGGCATGGGTGTTATTTGTAAAATCATTAAAAATTACTGTAGCCAATAAAAATTGAGCAGTCAGTTTCTCTTCCTGTCTCCAAAACATTTGCAGAGAAGAAAATTCTCAATCACCAACCTGTGAGGAAAAAAAAAAAAACCCAAAACCCAGAGATCTTAATAGTTGTGTTCAAATCAAGTTGACTGCAATTATATTATATTACATTAACAGTGCCCATGGGATTCCCCCCCCCCCCTTTCTCTTCTCTCTTCAGCATGGCGGGTGGTTTAAGATACTCCTTTTTAACACTAAGCAGCCAGTTGAAACCTAAACAACCTGTGGATGAAGAAAGCATCCCTCTGGATCTGAAGAGCTAGGCTGAAGACAGAGTTGCAGGCCTAGTCTGGAAAGAGCAGCCCCAGCAGGAGTGGGCAGCACAGAGGTCCCACCCATGGTGGAGTCACCTATTTGGTCAGAGCACAAAAAGGAATGTCTTTGAAATACAAGGAAAGCTACCTCACATGTTACTGCACAACGAGCCACGAGGAACCCAGGACTCAAAGTACAGAACCTTCCCAACTAAGCAAATTTGCTCAAAGTCAGCCACGGGGCCCTCACTGTGTGCTGAGTAAGATGTTTCAAGGGTGACTTTGCTTATCAGCACCGTGACCTTAATTCTAAAGGTCTCAGCCAATGAAAAGGAGGGAAAACTTTTTGTTGTTGAAACATGTCTTTGTAAGAGTCGTTCAGTTTTGATTTATGCTACGTTGGTATGGGTTTTTTTTCCCCAAGTCATCTCAGTGAAATAAAGTCATTTCTATATATGCCACACAGTGTGATATTGCAGTATGGTAGAAAGTCAGTTATTCAGTGTCTGAGGATATTCCTGGGGCTGAGGAGGATAGAATGCTTGCTGTAATCAGGAGGCAAATGAGTTTTATCTCTTGCATTCATATAAAAAGCCAGGCATGGAGCATGTCAGTCACCTCAGCCCTGGGTAGCAGAGACAGACATATCCTGAGACTCTGGTCTTAAATGGTAAGTATTGTGTTCACTATCTCAAAAAATAGGATGGAGAGTGTGACTGAGGAAGACACTCATCATTAGCCTCTGGCCTCCACACACACACATACACACATGTGCACACACATGCCCATACATATATACATACATGTGTGCATACATTACTCCACCTTGAAGGAACAATAAGATACCCTTTTAAGGACAAGTGTTGGAAAAAAAAACTTGGCAAAAAACAAAAGTCATCAGTGCATGTCCATAGTCTTAGATATTTGAATGAGTGGTCCCCGGTTGGGAGGCCTTGCTTGAGGAAATAGGTCACTGGAGTAGGCTTTGAGGTTCCAAAGTCTCCATTCATTTCAGGTTTGCTCTGCTGCCTGCTTCCATGATTCCTGCCACACTGACCTCTCTGGGACTGTAGGCCCAAATAAGTTGCCTTGGTCATGGTTTTGTTTGTCACAGCAACAGAGACATGACTAATACCAGTGGCTCATCTGTCTTGTTCTGCCCAGCCCCCTCCAGGTTTGTTCAAGGGATTTTGAAAGTTAGATGCCTGTGACAAGCACTTTACAGAGTTAACTCCGCAGCCCTGCCAGCAACAGCTGGGTTTGTAGAAGTAGAGCCAGAGGTAGCAGCAACAGAAGGAACACGTTTCCAACTACTTAATACAAGTGTGTGTGTGTGTGTGTGAGGGGGGGGAGAGAGAGAGATATGACCCGACCCGCGGGTCCAGTTATTCGTGGGGGTCGAGGGGGACCTCACCTGAAAGGAACTTGGGCGAGAGAGACCAAGCAAATGGCTACTTGTCAAGGTCTGCTTTAATGTGGAAATGGTTTACAAGATATTCTCTAGGCAAAGGAGGAAGGGAAACAAAGAACAGGATGGGGACTCTATCAACAATCGATAGATAAGGTTAGTCATCTGGCAGAGCATTCTCCAGTTTTTCCTGGAATGTCCCGGGGCAACAGTTCTCTAAGAACAGGAAATTCTTTCTTAGCTGAAGGTCAGATTCTCCCAAAAGAGACAGTTTCTCATTCAGGCAATTCATTAAGCAACTTTGTTAGCTGTAATGGTGGTCCAGGGTCGCCAACAGAGAGAGAGAGAATGCACCATGGCACCATGACTGGCAGTCATATGCTTTAGAGAATACCTAGTAAAAGCATTTATTTATTTATTTATTTATTTATTTATTTATTTATTCTCCTCCTTCTCTCCCCCCTCTTCCCCCTCCCCTCTCTCCCTCTCCTTCTTCCTCCTCTTCTTCTTTCTCCTCCTCTTCTTCAGGTGTGTGTGTGTGTGTGTGTGTGTGTGTTTATGTGCACATGAGCACAGCTGCCTGGGAGGTGAGAAGTGTCAGTTTCTTATAAGCAGTGTGAACCACTTGACCTGACACCGGTGCTGAGAACCAAACTTGGGTCCTCTAAAAGAGCAGTATGTACTCTTAATCACCAAGCCATCTCTCCAATCTCAACCTCTCTCTCTCTCTCTTCCTCCCTCCCTCCCTCCTTCTCTTCCTCCCTCTCTTCTTCCCTCCCTCCCCCCCCCCCCTCTTTCTTTATTTCGAGAGTCTCTCTATCTAGTCCTGGCTGGCTTGAAACTCCCTATGTAGACCTGGATGGCCTCAAACTCACACAGATCTGTTTGCCTCAGACTTCCTAGTGCTGAGATTAAAGCCATGCATCATCAGGCCTGACTCTACATTTCCTAATTCTGTTGCTTCTTTTATTACTACTGTGTTCTAGAGCGTTTTGTTTGTTTGTTTTTGAGATAAGTTCTCCTGTCAAGGATGATTGCATTCATGATCTCCTCTTCCATCACACACGAGCTGTGATTAGTTATGTGCTACTATGCCTGGTTTATGTGGTTATCAGATGTAGGTCTCATATCTGTTAGTCTGGCACTCTTCCAACTGAACAGCACTCTTTACTTTTTAAGACTTCTAGAACATGACATTGGGGGTTTCCAAACTATTGTTAGAACATCCTTTAGTATCTCTTCTGAAACCCTGAGACCAGAAATCACTCACTCAGAGAAGTGAAAAACAGTTTTTTCTGTCTTTCAAAGTTGTTTTCCTTATCTCTAAGTTTTATTCTTGGAATTCTTTCAGAAATGCTTTTAAGACTTTTCCTCCTCTTCCACATTTGGCCAGCAGAGGGCACCCTAAGAGCAGCATTTGTATCTGGGTGAAAATTAGCCCTTTTCACTCTAGAAAGATGCATGGCAAATGGAATCTCCAATCAGGGTTCTGAATTACTTTAGGGAGGGGGAGTGTTGGGTGCATGAGGTGGTAGTAACTAAGGGGAACTTCAGTTGAGAAATTTCCTCTATTAAACTGGCCTATGGACACTTCTGGGAAGCACATTCTTAGCTTTGGGTAAAGATACTTGCTCTACAAGTTGGATGAACTGAGTTTGATCCTCAGAACCTGTGGTGGAAGGAGCAAACTGGATCCTGAAAGCTCCCCTCTGACCTTGACATTAGATCCAGAGACACTTGGACCCCTTCATTTGGCTATCAGACCATTAAAAGAGTGGTCTCCAGCAAATTGGAATTTCCCTGGGAATCACAGCTACAGAGAAATTTGTCTCCCAGGAAGAGATTTTAAGCATATATAAGATGAGGACCAACTTGCCCTGGGCAAACTCTCAGAGACATTATTCTGAGCACTGGGCAGAGTGGTGGCCTCACACACTAGTTAGGCTACCTTGAAGGATAGACTAGAACCCAGACAATGATATGTCAAGAATGGGCAGGACCACTACTTAACCAGGACTTCTTACTTATGTGTAACCCTTGCTCTCTATTTAAGAGTAAACATGCTGGAACTGAAGTCAGCCTGTGAACACTCTGGGAATGGAGCGGCTTTGAGGATTCCTAGCCTGGCCCTGCTTCCTGTTCTCTGTCTCTCTCCAGTTCTCACCCAGTGTGTGAATAAAATGATCAGTTTGCTTCCTGACTGCAAGGCTAATCTCCCATTCCTGCTCTTAACGTTTTCCCTGCCATGATGAACTGTATCCCCTCTGGAACTGTAAGCCAGAACAGACCCTTTCTACTCTTGATTTCCTTTTGTCAGGGAATTTTATCACAGTACCAAAGACTTAGCTAATACAGGCTTCATGTGAGTTGTGTGATTTCAAACATTTCAGATGCCCAAAAGAAACATAATGTCCATAAAAAGAAAAGAATCCTGTCTTAGTTACAGTTTCTGTTGTTGTGATGAAACACCATGACCGAAGACATTTGGGGAGGAAAGGGTTTATTTAGCTTACACTTCCACATCACTGTTCATCACCAAGGAAGGGAGAACAAGAACACAAAAAGAGCAGGAACCTGGAGGCAGGAGCTGATGCATAGGCTGCTTACTGGCTTGCTCCTCAAGGCTTGCTCATCCCACTTTCTTGTAGAACCCAAGACCACCTTCTTAGGTGGCCCTAACTACAATGGGCTAGGTCCTTCCCCATCAATAACTAATTAAGAAAATGCCTTACAGGCTTACCTGCAGCCTGGTCTTATGGAGGCATTTTCTTAATTGAGGCTCCCTCCTCTCAAATGACTTTAGCTTATGTCAAGTTGACTTAAGACTATCCAGGACAAATCCCAAAGAGCTCTTCAAAAGAACCAACACTGCTTGAAACAATTTGGAAGAAATACTCAGGGACACTCTTGAAAGTTGTTTATGTAGAACAATAAGCTTAACCACAGAGCCTTTAGCTTTGCAGGAAGAACCAGAGAAAATACAGCTAAGAAGAGGTCTCTTGATGTTTGAGCAAATTGGTCTCAGTCAGAAATTTAATGATTCAAACCAATAAGCATAGCACAATTATAAAGTAGGCCAGTCACCTGGAAACTAGTGCTGGAGGAGGTATTTTATACCAAAAGACACAAAAAGCTTGCAGCAAAAAGCAGAAGCTATATGTGGTGTCCATACCTCTAATCTCAGCTGTTCCAGAGGCTAAAAGAACAATACAGAGCATCAGTGAAACATTTCTTTGAAAAGATAAAATTGGCAAACCCTAAGACAAATTAAGCAAAAGAGAAAAGACTCCCACAATTTAAAATTAGTTGAAAAGGGGATGTTAAATAGGTATCACTTAAGCCCAGAGGATTATTGAAATTCTATATTCTGATGAATTATTAAACCTAGGAAAAAATGGACAAAGTTTTAGACACATGCTATATCACCTACAGAGTTGAACCAATATAAGCAACCAAAAAACAATAGTGAGCAATAAGACTAGAGGAGTAATAGATTCCCTGACAAAGAACATTAAAGTACTAGGTGGATTTTGTGCTGAATTATACCAGGTCTCCAAATGCACACTGTCCCACAAAACTGGAAGGGAAGGAATGCTTCTGAACTCATGGCAAGAGGCTATCTCCACTCTGATGCCCAAACTGGGTAGTGATGCCACACAAGAGCACGCTATAGACAATTTCCCTGATGAACACAGATGCAAAAATCTTAAGTAAACGACAGATTAAGATGATAAAACCCCAAGAACAAGGGGATTTCACTCCGGGGGTGTTGAGATAGTTCAGCAGGGACAAATGAATTAATGTAATACATCATAGTAGTGGAATGAAGACAAATTATATAATCATCTCAACAGATATAGAGATGCTTTTGACAAAATTCAACATCCTCCATGGCTAAAAACTATAATTAGGAGGAGCAGGATCAGACCTCCCCACGATGACACCTGTCTGTGAAAAACCAGCAGTGAATATTATACCAAATGGAGAAAAGCAGAAAGGATTTCTTCTAAACCAGAGACAAGAAAGGATGTCCACTCGGGCTACTAATTTAGT